GTTCTAAAGTAAAGGTGAACAGCGTTTTTCTTAAAAATATCACTGTTACGTAGTAAAAAAAATCCCGAAAGTTCTCGCTTCGTGATTTGTTCAATACTTCGAACGTGGCTCGAGTCCGTCCCGACAATCTGTCAAAACCTCGTGCTGCGGACTCTCTCTCTCGCACCGTCACCTCTCATTGGCCAGTGTTTTTGGTTAATAACTCGTAAACAAAGCCGCGGATTGCATTTTCGCAAAGGAAAAAGTTACTTCAAATGACCTCAGCTACCCCTCATTTTCGGCTGTTAAAGTAATTGTGGAACACCCTGTATATATTTGTATTATGTTAGAATGTGTGTTACCTGACACCTAGTAATTCTTAATAAAAAAAAAACGTTTCGAATAAAAATTAGTCTGGTACACAGTTTCTAAAGAATTACGATACTAAATGTTGATAAAAGATTTCTTTATTCAACAAAAAGGCAAAATCGTTACAATTTTTTAACGTAACTGTATATTATTTATGTACAAATCGATTTATCTTTATATTCCCTATAAAAAATTATTAACGTTCTTAGGTCGAAAATTAATTAGTTTGAAAGTTAAGATTATTATCCTAAACTTCACTTCGCTTCACAGTGCGACGCGTCATGATGCCACAAGCGACGCTATGTGGCCATGGTTGGCATCAAAGAATTCAAATCGGCCAACCGCTCGCCCTACCTCTCCCGTAGATGCCAACGAACTGTGCTCCACTACTCTTTCGAGAGACAGAGTGTGCGGTCGGTCGGTGGAAACGTTTGAAAAACGGTTCAGAGTGTGTTTCTCTTACGATAAACTGTATATATTAAATTGTTGTTTAACCCGTGAATTTTGAAGTTTCACCATATTCAAGTTTAAATTCCGATATGGATGCAGGTAAATATATTTAATACTTTTTCTATTTCTTGTGTTGTCGTTATTTTCAATCTGTCGATTAGACTGTACTTGGAAGAGGAAGGATCACAAATATAAAATATTAACTTCGAACATTTAGTCATTTTCAAAATATTCACAAAACTTTGAATGTTATGCACTCAAAGCAGTCGTTAACACATTCAATGACGCAGTTTAGCAATCGATAAAGTAGAAGCGCCACTGATTTTAATATCTATAGGGTGTCATTTTTAAATTTGCTAGTAAGTGCAATCGATCTGGGTTAATTTATTTTTCGAGTGTGCGAAGCGATCGACTCACTCTAACAATTCTCACGTTCAACAACATTAAATATCTCTAAAATGCCTGAAATCAAGTTCTTTATTTTGTATAAAGAAGATATCTTTTTTAGAGGTTCAACCGTTATAAAGGGTGTCCATTTCTGAGTGTTACTTTTAAATATCGCGCCGTTTAAATTTTCCGTATTAGATTGCCATGTATTATTTGACATTTGACAAGTAGAAACATTGCGGCAAAGAAAAATGAGGAGATATTCGATTCAACAACACCTGTCTATTAATCAAAACTATTACAAATTTGGTGAAAGTTATGCAGAAGATGGAAGAAAATTTCGTACAGAATATGGAATAGAAAATTGTCCATCAAACATGCAAATCGGAAGAATAATTCAAAAATTTGAAGAATGTGGTTTATTTGCAGATAAAGTTAGTAAACAACATTATCGTAGTGTTCGCTCTGAAGAACAAGAACTTCACCAAACTTGTAATCATTTTTAATAATAAACAGGCATTGAATCGAATATCTGTCCATTTTTGTTGTTGCAATGTTTTTACTTGTCAAATATTAAATAATATATATCAATCTAGTATAAAATATTTTTACATTTAAAATTAAATAATTTTAAATTTTAATTGAAATAAATTTTTTATTTTTTAATCTAAAAGCAACACTCAGTGGTCGTTAGAAAAGTGGCAGACCTCTGCTACTCTACAATAGATGCCATAGAAGTGTTTAGAAGTGGAGGGGGCAGCTTCCCCACACAAGTTCTTTTTTACTTCCACTCCCCTCTCTACTGCTTCCCCATCGCTTCTGAGCACTTCTACGCAGAAATTGAAAACGTTCTGAAAATAATCGTTTCAAACTGTTATGTATATCGATTTTGACTTATATTGGTTTCGGTTTTGCTTCTTCAAAACTGATTTCATATCGATTCTATTACTGCTATCTTTCGGTTTTGGGTTTCAGTCATGCATTTCGGTTACAGCTCTATTTCCCGTAATAAATATTAGGTAAACCGTAAAGTAATCAAAATCTTTTTTTTGTTTTTAAATTGATTTATTAAAGAAATCCTACATTTTAATCAACAGAATAATTTCAATCATTTTTTAACACCTTTTGCCAGCATATTATTATTATTATTATTATTATTATTTTGTAGAGGTATTAAAAGTATGGATTCTATATTTATATCGAAAATGCATGTGATATGATCACATCTTTGCAATACACTTTGTATTACTGACTATGTAGCTGCAGCTGGGGATGTTGGCTATTTTTGTTGAGATTGGAAACCGAAAATCGAAAAATGTAACGGTTATGGAATCAATATAATATTCTGAAGCATCGAAATCGAAAACAATATTTCTTATAACAGTTATGGGACTTTCTCGCTTCTTTGTAATTGTTTCAAGAACAGAAACTGATACCATAACTGTTTTCAATCCCTGCTTCTATGGCATCCCTAAATACACGCCGCTATAACCGCGTAGGTATACCTAGGTATACCATTGTACGTATACCATGGTAGTAATAGCTTAGGTATTTCATTAATTTTGAAAACGACTAAATGCCTGAAGCTAATATTTTATATTTGGGTTTTTCGCACCGGGGACAGGTCCCTTTCGGAAATTCATTATATCCGTTCATTATTAGGACATGGCTTGGAATTAACTGCACATACAGAGACAGAGCATTTTGCTAGACTGCTCTCAAATGTACTACGGGAAAGATCTCACAAATGGAATTGGATGACACCACTCGACAGCACAGTTAATTGCTAGCCCTGTATCAGGATGTTGAATTTATCTATTTGTTTATTTTATCATATGGCATGTAATATACAGGATGCCTATCAATAAGTACCAATTAAAATAATTGGTAAACGGGTTACTTCACGAAAAGAGCGTCAAATGTATTTCTTATGTTTAAAAGAATTAAAATAACCTTTAAATGACCTTCTAACGTTAACGCATTCTACGTAAAAAAACAAACATAAGAAATACATTTGACTCACTTTCATAACATCACCAATTATATGTTATTTCAAACGGTACGTATTGATGGATACCTTGTAATCTGTAATTATTAAATATTAAAATGTTGTGTGTGAGAATAAAATTATAAAATAATAATGATTTTTATATTAACAGGCAGTAGCAGCATTGACTTAACTCCACTTCGTACAAAGAGAATGTATCGCCAGAAATTTAGAGACGAATGGCTGCAAAAGGCTGAATTTGTCTTATGGCTGGAAAAATGCGAGGACGTGTATAAAGCCAGATGTAAGCTCTGCGACAAGACTTTAAGAGTAGGCTTAACACATCTAAAAAAACATAGAGCAGGGGGTGCTCATCAGATAAACGAAGAAGCTCTAAGGATCTTCGCGACAGAGGAAATGGGCAAAGCTGCATCACCTTCAGACAACAATACTGTCCGAGTGAAAAAGGCAGAACTAAGGTTTTGTATGGACATCGTGGAGCACAACCGAAGCTTCAATTTTTACAATCATTTTGTGGGAATGTTAAAAGGGGCAATATCAGACTCACTAATATTAAAAAGCCTTTCACTTAAAAGATGCAAAGCAAATGCACTTGTTCAAAATGTCATTAACAAGGAAGTTGCTTCAATTAATATTGAAATATTAAAAAATAAGTACTTCTCTATTATTGTAGACGAGAGTACAGATATATCTGACACAAAAAATTTATGTATTTTAGTACGATATGTCAATAATGGTGCAATTAGAATAGATTTGTTAGAGTACTTAAGAATTAAGGACGGTACCACGGAGAATTTATTTAAATGCCTACAGTATGTGCTAGAAAAGAATAGCTTAAATATAAATAATGTAGTTGGCATTTGTATGGATAACACAAGTGTCATAATTGGTAAGCACGAATCCCTTGTATCGAGAGTATTAGCAATTAACAAAGAAGTGGCTGTGTTTCCGTGCACATGTCACTCAGTGCATTTAATTGCATACGATGCTACAGAACACATTCCTAAATATATAATAGATTTTCTACACAAAATATATTACTATTTCGCACAATCTCTAATGGGACAAACTCTGCTGGAAGAGCCACAACAAGTTTTGAATGTTACTAAAAGAAAAATAATCGAGCCATGTCCAACTCGGTGGTTACATTTATCACAGTCTACCACTGTTATTTTGGAGCAATGGGACACGTTATTTCGACTTTTCGCAGAGTCTACTATTTGTGGATTAGAAAACGGTCGTGAAATTTTTATTCCATTAAAGTCTACATTTACAAAAGTATATTTACAATTTTTGGATTATATATTAAAGAAATTTGCGAAATTTAATCTTTTATTTCAAGGATCCAATATTTTAATACACTGCATCTTACCCGAGAGTTATAGATTCTTAAGGTTCTTAGGTGACACATTCATCAAGCCAAATTGTATGCGAACGGACAATATATTATTTATCGATATAGACGATGAGGACAATTTACTCCCTTTACAAGCGATAGATATTTCTGAAAAAGCAAAAGCAACAATCAGTGAAATTGAAAACAAAAAGGAAGCAACCTCTGAAGAAATTGTTCAATTTTATAGTAATGTACAAACATTTTATAAAACTGCGTACAAAGGCGCAATAACAAGGTTACCATTCAACGAACAATTTTTAAATGATTTACAATTTCTGGATCCTAAGATTGCATTATACATTGAACATCACAATAGCCAAATACACAGTATCGTAGGAAAATTTGAATCTAAATTCGATAAAGATACAATCGACATAGAATGGCGTGAATTACCTTCACATTTCTCACCGTCAGAGAAGGATAATTTAATAAAAATGAAAATTCCAGAATTTTGGCATACACTTGGCAATATCAAAGATTTCACTGATGAATATAAATTCCACAACCTTGCAAACTTAGCTGAACTTTGTTTAGCACTACCACATTCAAATGCAGATGTAGAAAAATGTCTTTCTTTTATAACAAACGTTAAAACGAAAGACAGAAATAGACTGAAAAGCCAGGCAGTAAGTGCACTGGCACGAATACAGTTACATTTAAAAGCACAAAATGAAAATTGCATTACGTGGGAAGTGTCGCAAAGAGCGATAAATTTGTTTAACTCTGACATATATAAAACAGAGAAAATACCAGAACAACTGGTTAATATAATTTTACCCAATGCAGAGGATACAGAAACAAGCAAATGTTTGATATAAGACAAAAATGTTAATGGTAACATATTTTTAAAACATGTAATTTATTAGATCTACTTTGCAAGTTTAATTTGTAAAGAACAAAATAATTATAAACGATGATATAAATTTAGGATGATTCGAAGATGGGCCACTTTGAAGCCATATAGCTGTGTTCAAAATGAACAAATAGTAAAAAAGATCATAATAAATAGTAAGCCACATGACTAATTGACTACTAGTGAATAAATTATACATTATAGGGATATTTTTTAAAACACACTTTTCTCCGCTTTTTGTATGGAAACCGACCAATGATCGGTGCCATGCTAGTGGCCGCCGGCCACTGTACAAAGTTCTATCACTGCACCAAATCTCATAAAAAAGTGAACATCAACCCTGGGGACCTTCCCTTGTTAGTCCTTCCAATATATAAAAATCTCACTCCTTTTCCTTCCCTACCCGATAGCCCACAACGATATCAATAGGCCCTCACAACGCGACCGTAGTTACATTTGTAATTCTCCTCTGCGCTAAATGATTAATATTGTTGCTTTCATACATAACAATTAAAATGAAATTATTTGGTAGAAGAGCTCTTTAGAGCATCGATCTACAATCGATATGACCTTCACAATTTTGTCAAGGTCATTCTGATTAGAAGTACATAATTTCAAATAATATTTGTAACGGTTGATATATTTATGAAACACTGATCAAATAGCATTTGTATTCTTTCAGATACTTATTACAATATACTAATGGTACTGTCATTAATATTTATTTGCCAGAGCCATAAAAGCTATTAAAATTTTAAAGGGTTGATATAACAGATTATATTAAAATTTTTATTTTATTAGGTTGCTGCGTATTCATTCAAAAATACAAATTTTTATATTTGGTAACATATCATACAACATTTCAAAGCTTACAATTTGTTCTTTAAAGTTCGATTTACATTTTTCTATTTCAGGAGATGTTTCCTTACTTTTCTTTTATAATACGTCAGATGAATGTGTTGCATATAAAGAAATTATATTTTAATGATTAATTAAAAATAATAAATATTTATATTATATAATTAAATCAGCAGTTCTTGACAACATTCCAATGACGACACGAAACATGAAAGTTATACTGAGGGCTAGAGAATCATTCATAAATTGTTTACAAAAAAGTCTTGTTGTCAATGCACGTTGTTTTTAGTATTTATTGTAATTGAAATATGTCCTTCATTCATCTTTCTCAATTACTACACCGATTATTCAGTTTGTAATAGTTGATCTATGAATTTTTTAAATAATATTCTCCGTGATCGTTGTACATTCTATGATTGTTACTCAAGACACAAAAACAACATCAAAAATATTAAATTAAAAAAATTATAAATCGATTGGTGTTAAATGTATTTTGTTAAACCTTATTAATTATTATTAATCTTTTCGCGTTGAAGGTCGTTTTAACTATCATATTGCGATATTAAAAATATGTACAGTGCTCCTATGTAAAATAACTAGGATGATCTCAAAATTTCAATGAACATAATCTTGAAAACAATTTTTTGAAATTTTCTCGAGTCAACTATTTTCATTTGAAACTTTTTACACTTTTTTAAAATATCATTTATTTAATGTTTACATGAACTTTCTACGAACTTAATAGAGACTATTGAAAAACTAGATGATCAAATGATCTTGTTTTTTTGTCGTATGCAGACTATACAGTGTAAA